CCCCCACACCTGGTTAATTTGTTGAGCTGTTTCGATTGCGGATTGCCCCAATTTATAGTCGAAGAAAAAAATCGTCCGAAGTGCTCTTTTCACATGCTTGAAAAAATCTTAAAAAAGGGGTTCATCAAGCAATGGTGAAACGGCAGTTATACCATCAGATAGCGCAAAGAATTCTCTTCAGGATGTACTACTGAGACGCAAGGGAGAATGAGTTTTTAATCAGCAATGAATGTGCAAAAATAGTAACACAAAACCTGCAGAACTTTCCGGACAACCTAATAACACCCTTGCTGTTGTTTTCGGGCAAGTACCAAATAATCGCGCCTTATGCCTTCAAAATAAAAGTAAGGGCAAAAATTAATAACATGGGTTAACTTGTTAAACACAACAACGAGAGGAATTAGATTCATTTTTTTAACTGAGGACATAACATCATGTTTTTGCCTTTTCAGAGGAAAGGTCCTTAGATGGCTGAAGAGTTTTCATGGCGGAATCGCTCTTGGATGACTCATTCTTGGCCCACTCCTGAACCTTTGCTGAAAAATAGATTAGTAATAATGCAGATCAAACATCTCGCTGCATTAATTAATCTTTCACTGGACCAGAACAGACTTACCGGATCCAAATATCAAGAAAGCGGCTCCCGCTAGAAAACTGAATGCACTACATAACATAAACGACATCATCCATTTGTTGGAGAAACCCTGAAAATATGTAGAAGCATGTCACTAACTGACTACTATCAGGCTGTGCAGGAAAAAATGCGAGAATTCGATCTCTTTCCAGTATTTCAGCACTGAGAAAACTTTTTCAGTCAGTTACTGATATCTAGTATAAGAAGAACTGCAAAGTAGGAGAAGAGGATCGTACCATTTTGGAGATCAAGCCCAACAACAGTGTACCACTGATATTTCCCAGCATACCAAATAACATAGCGATTGAAGTAGTCGTACCGGAAAATGGTGGGGCTATACAAAGGATACATGTGAAGAAACCAGGAATACCCGCAGAGAAAAATGTGCCTGAACAAAAATAAAATTGTTACTGATCAAAAGGTTTGATACTAGATGCCCTGCTGAGAACACCTTACCATATAAAGCGAGTAAGGGTAACGCAATATAAGGGATTTTCACAATTCGGCAAAGTGGCCAGTGCTATGAGCATTGCCGCTGAGCCGAATGAACCTGAAAACAGTATTCAAAGAAAAGTCAAAAACAACAGTTTTCTCTGCTGCGGCGAGGCGTGTAAGGGGGTTGGGTATAGCGCGGCGCCAGACCAATCTCCACCAGTTTTTAAACAGGGCAAGCGACAACACTTGGTGGAAAATGGGTGGCGCTCTGGCCAACCCGGCTTCTCTGACACGTCTCAGCGTACACAACGAAAACACCTATATGTCCGACTGCTATAAAATCTTTTTCATACCGATACTTTGAAATATCTTCGCACATTTGGTGGGATCGATAATATTATTCCTTTTCAGGTAGTCCGCTATAACCGCAAAGATGTTTTTTGATATCAATTGCGCAATAAAGGGAGTCATAGAGTAGTATCCGTTCTACAATTATGAAGAACAGGTCACTTTGAAAGGAATAGGTTTCACTGAAGATGTAGACGAGACCAGTAGAGTTGGTTCCGAGTAGGTTTTTACAAATCTAAGTTTTTGACTTTCACTTTCAGAAACGAGCTGGTGAGACAGAATCTTTATCTGGCCTGAGTTTCAATCTTTCGTCTTCTTCAGCCCGCGCAGCGCTCATCGAGTGGATGACCCCCTACAGTAGCGTAGGACGAATTTACGGGCATGAAGACAAACTGCACGATCACCTCCGAAAACGATCCTTGGCACATACGAGATGAATGGGTTTGCAGCTGCAGTGGTGGTGACAATTTCTGAGCTCAGAAAAGCACGAGCACGGAGCTGAAAGTTAGTAATACACAGGAACCGTCGCGCGCGTGCAGGGGAGGAGAAAGCTCCGGGGTGCGGCGGTCATCCGGTCCGCGACTCGCCCAACCTCGGCAGGCACCTACCCCCTGGCGGGTTACAGCACCCCACGCCTAATCTAAATGGTCCACACAGGACCAGGCCCCGTTGTGTGCATCCACGGACAACACAATTAATCCCACGCGCAATTTTCGGGGGTACTGTACACCCCCTAACAACCTGAACTTATAATCTTTTCACGCAGTCAGAGGTTGAGAACAAACCGAAGCCAGAGGGAGCAAACATGCAGCGCGTCCGGCTTTGATTAGGCGTGTGGCTATCCACACGGCAGCGCGATAGTGGGGAGACGGCCCCGGCATCATTGACCTCCACCCCCTGTGCACTTCTGATCAAATGTGGCACACTACTGCTGGGGAGACGGACAAGACAATCTTTAATTTGTCGCGTCATGGCGCCCACGCTCAGTACAACGACGCGCGGAAAATTCTCGATGGACATGAGTCTATCAACTGAAGCAGCTGAGCTCATACGAATCTAAACAGATACACGATTTTTTTCGGCACTATTTACCCTTTACTGCCCCAGTCATCCGAAATCAGGCCAGTTCCTGACCGACTTTTTTCTCCGTGGGCAGAATTTGCTGAAAACTTGGCTCCAGGGGTAGTTCGACCCGCTGAACACGAATATCGCATCCGCTTGACCCGAAACCTCCTGGCGCCCG